ACCGAGGTCTTCCTCATTCTGTTTTACAGCTGCTGTGTGTGTCTGTACCAAAGTTTATTCAACCGATCTTTATGCTTGGACAGTTAGGTAGTTTCCAATATTTTGCAATTACAAGTAATACTTCAGTGAATGCCCTTGTGTGTGTGCATTTTTATATTGTTAAGGGGTGTATCTTCCAGATAAATCCTTGCAAGCCGGGATGCTCAATTGAAGAGTATAATGTGATTTAACGCCCCCCCCCTTTTTTCTTAAGGTTTCATTTTTTTAAGTAATCTCTACACCGTGTGTGGTGGTTGAACTCTCAACCCCAAGATCACGAGTCACACCCTCCACCGACTGAGCCAGCCGGGCGCCCCTCAAGTTTCCTTTTAAAGTGTATTTAAATCAAAAGAAAAAAGTGAGATCAGATAAAATGATGAGATAAATAACAAATAGTACGGGCAACACATAAACTTGGCAAGCATCCAAGAGGCAGGCAAAGGACTGAGGCTGAAACAAAACTGAGCTGGGTTCTTGCCGCCCTCCCTTCAGATTCTAAAATAGAAACCCACATGGGATGAGGGCTTGTGGTATGTTGTAGCAGGTTCAAGTGGAGTTTCCTGGGAATTCGGCATCAGAGCCGGAGTCCTGGCCTCCGTGACTGCCCATGGAAATCCGTGCCCACGAGCCCACTGATCTGGGTTTTCCTTGGGGGTAGCAGCATGGTGTGTGTCCCCTGGGCGGGGAGCAAGGCTGCACCGAGACAGTCGCATATCCACAGGAGGAGTGGGAGCGGGGGGCCCAGAAGGCTGTGCAGGACCATGCCCCATGTTCTGGTCTGGCATAAAAAGGAAGTTCACTTTGACCCTGAGTCACCAGGAAAAGAAAGGTCAAATCTTCTTTGGTACCCTTTTTTAAAGATGATTGTGGAATCCATTTTACAATAGTGAGAATCTGGAGAGACCCTCTCCCCCAAAACTTATTATACCCCGCGTGCCCACATGGCATTTTACATACAGTTTCAGGGAGTTGACAGATGCTAGGAAAGAATCACTACTTTCAAGAGTTGTTTGGATAAAATTGTTAAAAAGAGAGGGGGGCAGGGGAAACCTGTGTTGGCACTGGAAGGACTGTTGTACATTCATCTAGAGAATTCATCCCCATGGAACAGCTCGCTCCCTGACTGTGCTGGCTGGATGAGGATACAGTGGGTGGGATACGGCTGTAGGAACCAAGGGGACAGAACTGAGGTTCAGAAACCTCACTGTGGATGGAGAGACCCTTGTGGAACTGGTCCTGGATGAGGATGGGACCTGGGAGTGGGAGGGCAGTGGCCCTGGCTTTTTGCTGGTACTTTTCTAACTATGCTAATTGTCACTCTGCTTTTGGGCTTCTGTTTCCTCATACACAGTATCCAGGACTGAACCGGTGGTTTTTAGCAGTCTTGTGTGAAGCCCCAGAATTCTAGAAAGGAGCTTCAGGGGCTTCTGTAGGGTGCAGGAGGAAACCCGCGGCTGGGGGTGTTTGGGAACCCACCCATCCTTTACCCGGAGCAGCTCTGTTCCCGTCTGTGGTGGCGTGCTATGGGAAATTGTCATTCAAAATTAATAGGTCACTCCTTAACTAAGTTTGATGAGCACTAGACTGGATTATCTTTAACTGCTGTCTGCTCCAGAATTCTGAGTGTTCAGGGAGATTAAAAAATTAAAAAGGAATAATCACATCACCGCAGATGTATTCTCTAGGCTGAGGCACTAGGGCTTGGCCCTGTGACCTTGGGGAGTCCTTGAAGCTGAGTTCCTGCTCTGTCAGCCAGGCTGGGAGGGAGGGGAGCCTGCAGCTGGGCAGGAGGTGTGTCAGAGGTCCCAGGGTGGAAGCCAGAGGCTGACACCATCGTCCTGCTTGGTAGCCTTCCGATGTTTTCACTGGCACGCTCTGTCGGTAAACACAAACAATCAAATAAATGTCATTTACGCAGGCATCTCCCCAATATAAATGCATTTATTGTAAATTACACCTATTTGTATTGCTGTGCCAAGGTCAGATACATCGCGAAACAAAACAGATGGTTGAAAGATGAGGATAATTAAAAATAAGAGAGGTGCTGCCCCGTGAATCATCTCCTCTCCCCGCAGAGAGGTCCCGGTCGTGGGGAGGCAGCTGGAGGAGGTTGGTAGGGGTGCAGGCGCAGGCGCAGGAGGGAACAATCATTCTCAGACGGCAGTCTGCACCCCCACCGGCCTGCTGCTGTGGCCATGCTGTGCGGACTGCTGTTGACTCAGTAGCTCCCTGTGAATTGACTCACTCGTTTTTTTTCCCCTTAAATTTCACCTTCCCCTAAGCAGTGAGGTCCGCAGAAGAACAGGTTTTCCGTGCAGTCTGACTCTTTTTAAGGCACCCTGGAATAAACACAGAACTCCGCAAACAGAACCTTTGTCTGCATTGCCCTTGAAAATCCTGGGTCAGCCCCCACATGTGGGATGGCTCCGTGGAAGGCTCCACGGGGGAGGAAGGGGCTGGTGATCCGGGCCTGTGTGGATGGGTGGAGGGTGTGCTCCTCCGTGCTGGAGGACAGGTGCAGGCACAGCTGTACCTCAAAGAGTTCCCCAGGGTGGTGGGCATGTGTTGCCTTAGGGTGGATGGGGTGGAGCCCTGAGGCACCCGCTATGTGTCATAGCAGCCGTGCATCACTGCCGGCCCTGTCTGCTGCTGGAGCTTCCCATGTTGGGCTAGCCCAGCCATCTGTCTGTCCATCCCGGTGGTGAGCACTTGCTGCATATGGGGCGCTGGACTCGGCACTGGAGTTCCAGTGGTGAGCAGAACAGAGAAGGCGGCTCCTCTTATGAAACCCCCATTCGAGCGGGGGAAGGCAGGCAGCAAACAAGCAAGCCATAAATAGAAAATAGGAAATCCAGGCAGTTATAAATGCTATAAAGTAAAATCGAGATAAGGGAGGGAAGGGACAGGGGTGCCTGGGTGGCTTAGTGGGTTAAGCCTCTGCCTTCAGCTCAGGTCATGATCCCAGGGTCTTGGGATTGAGCCCCGCATCGGGTTCTCTGCTCAGCGAGGAGCCTGCTTCCTCCTCTCTCTCTGCCTGATTCTCTGCCTACTTGTGATCTCTGTCTGTCAAATAAATAAATAAAATCTTAAAAAAAAAAAAAAGAGGGGGAAGGGACAGATTCAGCCAGAAGAATTTCCAATAATTTATGTAGCTACTCCCTCCAGGAGGCAGAGTATAACTCCCTGCTCCTTAAGGGGGGGCTGTGCTTAATGACTTGCTCCCACAGAGTGTGCAGGGAGAGAGGAGGGAAAGTCACTTTCCAGTGGAGAAATCTGACTGGCATTCGCTTGGCCCAGTGCGCAGACTTACCATCGGTGGTGATCGGGCCGTGTCACCGGCCTGCGTACTCGCTACATCGGGCCGCAAAGGGCACTTCCCCGGTGTGGGCTTCCTCCCAGAAACCTCTACCCCAGTCTGTTGATCTGAGAACATCAGACAGACTCAGATAGAGGAACATTCTGCAGACTACCTGACCAGTTCTCTTGGCTCAACCCCTAAGGTCACCAGAAGCAGGGGAGTCAAAAACTGTCCCAGCCAAGAGGAGCTTAAAGGGGACATGACGACTAGATGTAACATGGTCCCCGGGATGGGATTCTGGAAGAGAAAATGGACAGTGGGGAAAAACTAAGAAACTATGAATAAAATCTGCATTTTTGATCAAAATTTAAGAAGGTAAAAACCGGTGCAGAGGGAGTCTGAGAAGACATCTCTGGAGTGGTGGCATTTGAGGCTTGAAGGGTGTCCTTGAGTCAGGCCAGGGTGGGAGAGACCCGGAGTGAAAGCATTTCAGGCAGAGGAAGCAGCTGTGTAAAGATCCTGGGGCAGACATAAGCTTGGGCCCATCAAAGAGCACAGAGGAAGCTCAGCACAGGTGGAGAGGGGTGTTGGGGAGAAGGCCAGGCAGTGAGGTCAGAGGTGGAGAGGGACCGGGTTCCACAACAGGCCGCCTCGACACTGTGGAGGGCATGTGGATTTCATCCTCCGTGCGATGGGAAGGCAGTGGGGAATTCTGAACAGAAGGGCGGCATGAGCTAATTTCCACTTAAAATCACTTGGGTCTGTGTGCAGAGCGAAACTAGAAGGTAAAGGGAGGCAGAGCCAGCTGGGAGACCTTTACCCGAGTCCAGGGAAGAGCATAGATGGCAGGGGTCCACCAGAGTCCTGGGCGTCGTCCCATCCCTCCAGATACAAGTGCAGCTTTGCACGTCAGCATCCTTTTCCCTACGTCTGTCTCCTGAAGATGAGGGCAATGACCTGAACTCCGGGTTCCGAGAACTAGCTAATTGAAGGTCTGCACCTGCATGTCAAAGAACTCTGACAGGGACCCCTTAGAGCCAGGAGCGAACCCTCTCTCATTCGCCTGTGTTGGTTCATACCTTACCTCCTGAAAACTAAAAACGTACACCATGCTTATGTCGGTTGCTACACGTGGCCCTTATTTAATTGGGAAAAATACAGTGAGCTCCCTGACCTCCCTCTGCCTTCTGGAGGTTGTCAGCCGAAAAGGAAAACCAAAGGCTTCAGCCATGTCAAAGCCTTCGCTGGAGTGTAAACAGTTTCAGAATCTTCTCCGTGAACTTGGTTATGCTTTCTTAACTACATATTATTTTTTGTCTCTGCTGCCTCAGCTCCCTTGGGAAGGAAGTGTGGTGTCAATAAGGACAATAAGTGCCTTAGGAAAACATATTTGAAATAAAATAAATGACTGCAATTTGCACTTTTTTATTAAAATCAGGGCCCCGTTTCTTGGCACTGGCAAGACAAAAGGAAGAGAGGTTCTGGCCTCTGTCTCATTTCTCCCCAGCTTGTTGCCGATGTCCGGTCCCTGCTGACGCGCGCTTGCTGGACACGCTAGGAGCGGTCCACATGGGCTCTGGCTCTGGCTCTGGGATGACTATGTCTGCAAATCTAGGGCTGTGAGGCTGTCCGAGCTCATCCCTGTTTCTGTATTTGCTTCCAGAGATAGAGATGGTGATCATGGAGCGTGGCAAGCTCCCGGAGCTGGCGGCCAGCACCTCTGTGCAGGAACAAAACACCACGGACGAGGAAAAGAGCGCCGCCGCTACGGGCTTGGAGAGCGCGCAGTGGAGCAGGTGCCGCGGGCGGGCCCAGTCCTCCTGCACTCACGCTGGTGCCATGGGGAGCACGGGGTGGGGGGCAGCCCGGAGGCCAGCCTGCCAGTCAGGGTGGGGGGGTGCTGTTCTGTCGCTGGGATGAGGAGGTGGGCTGAGCGATGCTGGGGGTTGCGGTGCCCACAAGAGGTAACCAGGGGCCTCTTCCCCCCACCCAGACGGCTTCTTTGGCCTCTTAGCAAACTTGTCCTGCTTCCTGCCTTTCCTTGCTTCTCCAGCCCCGCTCGAGAGGCCACAGGGACAGAGCTGGCGCTCAACTCTGTCATGCTCACCCCTCAGAAGGGGGTGACCGAGACATGGCACCACCTCCCCCAAGCCTTTCGGTGGTGGGCCCTGTCCTTAAGGGTGTGGGCCACCTCGCAGCCTTGTACCGGCTGCCCCTGGCAGTGCTCTGCTGCTCCCAGGAAGGATCCCCTCGGGGCCTGTCTGATTCACTCACTGCCACACTCCCCTGCCAGCCGTAGGGCCTGCCCTCTTCTTGGCTCAGCCAGCGCGATTTCGTGCTGCTGTCCGCCTTCCACTTTTTGCCCGAGTGTTCATTTCACTGATGGCCTGCTGCAGCTACACCCTCTTCGGCCTTCGAGATGCCACGTTTCCTGGAAACTGGCAGCACCAGCCCTTCTTCCAGAGTGGGACTGGGTGGCAGGCTGCTCCCAAAGTGTGCAGGGAACGGCCAGGAGGGGACTTTTTTCATTTCGGAGTTATTTCCTTGCCGAGCGGCCCCACTGCAGAGACCCCTGCGGTAGCCTCATCCCACTGCCGTGTGAGTTCCGCAGGGCAGCGGGGTTCCGCTGTGAGCCTACCAGCGTTCACTTCCTGAACCCTCAGGGCGGAGGGGCTCGAACGCACACACGCCCCCTCCCATTTCTTAGTCCGGCTCCAAGACTTGGACCCCACCCGTCTGCCTCCACCTGTCTTCGTTTGGCAGCCGTCTTAGTTATCTAACGCTCAGGATGGATTTCTATCAGATGCGCAAGGGAGCCACTTCTCGTTGGGTTTAAATTAAAAAACACCGGAGTGTGGTGCGGGCTCTGTGTTGTTGCAACTTACAAAGACTCTTTTGATTTAGCTTAGCAGCAAAAAACACAACTCCTGACGCCCTGAAAAGTCAGGAAATCATTCTGAACACAGAAAGGGAGGGTGAGACAACCTTCAGTTGCTTGGCACAGCGTTAGCGAGGATATAAATAATTGGAACAACCACCAATGACTAGTAGTGGGGGAGGGTGTACAGCAAATGGGGGGCGTCTGCTTACTAGAATAGGAGCTGCTACTTTTACGTGAAAACTGTCAGGAGGTGATGGGTTTCTTAGGATCTAATAAATGGAAACAGAGCACATATTTTACATATGTCTGGTCATAGCTTTGTTTTTTTTTGTTTTGTTTTGTTTTTGTTTAAAGATTTTATTCATTTATTTGACAGAGATCATAAGTAGGCAGAGAGGCAGGCAGAAGAGAGGCAGAGAGAGAGGAAGGAAAGCAGGCTCCCCACTGAGCAGAGAGCCTGATGTGGGGCTCGATCCCAGGACCCTGGGATCACGACCTGAGCTGAAGGCAGAGGCTTTAACCCACTGACCCACCTAGGCGCCCGGTCATAGCTTTGTTAAAGGAAGAAGTATAACCATGTATTATTTAATAAAGAAAAAAATGAACAGACGAAATGTTAGGTTTGAAGGTTGGGTTGAGATTATTTTTTTCCTGATTTTTTTTTTTTTTTTTTTTTTTTTTAGTAAAGAGGGGGGTTTTTTTAGGGTTTTTTAAATTTTTTTTTTTTTAAAGATTTTATTTATTTATTTGACA